AGTTGAATGTTTTCCTCTTTTCTTTTCTCTGGTGTTTTTTAGTTGTGTGTTTTGGGTCATTATCCTGTTGCAAGACCCATGACCTGCGACTGAGCTCAAGCTTTGACAGCAGGCTGTCAAAGCAGATTTTTCTCTAGAATCCCTAGATAGTTCAGATATTTCATATTACCGTGCAGACATTCAAGGCACACTGTGACAAACTCAGCAAATCATATTCAAAACATAATAGAGCCTCCTCCATGTTTCACAGTAGGGAAAACGTTATTTTCCTGATATGCTTCAGTTTTCCATCTTTGAACATAATGCTTATATTCCTTAGAACATTTTTACATTTTTGTATCATATATCCATAGGCGCTCTCCCACAAGATTTGTTGCCTGTCAACATATTGTTTGGCAAATTTCAGTCTGGCTTTTTTATTATTTGTTTTCAACAAAGGTTTCCTGCTTGGTTGTGTCCCATTAAGTCAACTGATGTTCCTTGAGTTCGGCATTCAGCTTTAATCTCTAAATTAGGTTTTCTTGGTTCTTTTGTTACCATTTCTTTCATCTGTCTGTTTGATCATTGATCAATTTTCCTCCTTTGGCCACATACATCCAGGGAGGTAGTTTGCAGTCCTATAGAACTTACATTTCTGAATAGCAAGTGCAGCTGTTGTCACAGGAACATCAAGCTGCTTGGAGATGGTCTTATATGATTGACTTTTAACATACTTGTCTATAATTTTATTTCTAATCTCCTGAGACACCTCTTTCCTTAGCTTCCTCAAGTCCATGTTGAGTGTGGTACACACCATGTAACCAAACAACACAGTGACTACTGTCCCTTTGGTAACATTATAATTTTTTTTTTCTTTTTTAGGGGTGCTATCCATTTTGTCTTGACTTATTTCATTAGTTTATTTTTGAAAATCATTCTGTTGAAGCATGGTTGATAAGCAATGCATGACATTTATTTGTGTATGTTTATAGAAGTTTTATTATAACTTTTTAAAAAGAGGCAAGGAAATTATTCAAGAAACATTTAAAATGCTAAACGTTTTTTCCCCCCCATGACCTATTAAAAAAATTATACAAAAAAAATTTAGAAAAAATTGAAAATGTTTAATGTCGTAGTGTCAATGACCTTAACAAGTATGCAAATCGGGAAATCATTAACATATATTACAATTATAGAACAATAAACTTTGACTTATTGCTGTTTCTTTTTGCTGTGAAATTTTAATTTAAAAGTTGAACTCTCCACCTTTATAGAATTTTCAAATCTTCTGTCTTTTATAGCCTGGATTAGATGACTGTAACATAAAAATGGGGGGGCATGACCCCAATAACCATTTAAAACCCTTTAGGGGCATTTATTTTCTTAATCAGTCTAGGGAAGAAGGGTACCAGCCTGGCACTGTGAGATCTCCTACACTGATTTGTACGTGCCTCTATCACTGGCACTGCATCAGGTGCAGATCTCCATAAATCATAGACGGGCTCATACATGACTTCTCACATCTGACACACAGCTGCGCATAGTCTGGTCATCTGCACTTCTGCTGCAACTGGTCTTCTACTGAGACTACATGTGTGAAACCTTATATATGCTCCAGGTAGACTTGTGTCTCCCCTGACTGTAGGCACCTCTCATTCCAGGACACAAGAAGAAGTCAATTAAATACCCTACATTGAACCAACAGGGGGCTTACACACCCCTACCAATACAAAGCAGCTGGCAGAGCAAACACAGCCACCATTAACATATTGGACTTTTCCTCCAAAAGATACAGCAGATGTGTCTACAGGTCCTCTCTTCCCCAGACATATCTCCTGCCCAGCAATTGGTACACAGAAAAAACAGAAGGAGTGAATAGAGAGGTGAGGGAGTGGCAAGCACAAAGGCAAGTAGGCTACATACCCAAATATATAACAACTTATCTGTTAAAACATTATTGCACTCTATTAAATGTAGATATCCTGCTGGTGCTGATTTATCAACTAGGCTAACTGTTTAGGATGTAGAAAAGTGAGCCAACAAAGTTTCTGAGTTATGGAAAGTATCAGAATTCTTTAGACGGCCATGTATCAGCTCACTGTCCAAGACTTCCTCTGCGAGAAGAAGTGCGCTGTCCATGGTACTGGAACTGTTGCTTATCTGAGCAAAATCTTTCTTGCTGTACCCACAGCTGTAATATCATTAAACTCTGACTAAAGTAAATCCACCTCACAATAATAACAATGTTTTACCCATTTTGACATAACTGATTTTTATTTCACCACTCATGAGTCGAAATTAAATAATTTTGATCGGAAATCCACTCCAAAACTGTATATGGGCCAATAAATTCAGCCTGAAAGGAGAGGTTGTGATAGGACTTAAAGCCATCACCTGATCACCAGAAAAAAATTAGTGCACCTCAGCACACTGATCAAATAATATACTATACTATACTCAGTTTCTCTTTACAATTGCTCCTGGAATGAAGACAGGCAACTCCAGAAGCCATTCACATAACCTACAAAACGTTTTGGCTCAACAGGCCATTTCAGCCTGTCCCACATTGCGGTCAGTGGATCCTTCAGAGTGTGTGGGAAAACAAATTGATTTGGATTAAACTAGGGCTAAAAACTATTAATCATGATTAATCAATTATTGAAATAATCATCAACTAATTTAATAAA